TTATTGTAGACAACACGTTTTCTTTCAGGTCAAAAATGGAGCCGCTCCTGGTCGGTGTGTGGCTTTTCCTCCCGTGCCCCCCGACCCCCCGCAGCTCAGGCGGCTGCGCTGGTATCGTTCCATAGAGTCTCAGCCAGTTTTCTTCATCGGAACCCAGTGGGCATCTAACCATTTGTGCTTATTGTTTTAGGGTCTATATCATAACGATTTAAGAACGTTTTATGTGGAGATTGGCATGATTTTCACAACCAGTTAAAAGCCCCTGTTTCGGCTCGATGAAAATGCTGTTTTTCTTTTGAGTTATCAGGATATCACGTGCTCACAGACTATCCGCCGTAAACCTGGGTCTTCATGCCCATACATGTTTTCCTAGATCGATCTTTTCATGAATAGCTTTGCATTCTAAGATCAGTTTCAGATACGCACTGCATGTGGATCAAAGCATCTGTTAATACGGGCTGCCGGGTACTATGAAAACCATCAGCGAAAAGTCAGTGATGTCGGAAGACGCTGGTGGGGAACAGAGACTTGGCTAGAGCCGTCGTACGGCTGAAATCCAAAGAGGAACGAGACCAGCTGTGAACAGAACTGTAAACAGGAAAACCAGGGGCACCAGTTTCACAATGATCTTAACAATGACGACCGACGTTTTTAAAGCCAGGTCCTCAGAAAGTCCGTTAGTACAGCCATCCCGCTGTGGGTCAGTTGTGAGTTTGTGGTCACTCACTCATGGTATGTCCACCGCGGTTGTCAGGGACAGCAAGGACAGGACGTGACATCAGAGCTGTTAACTAAGCGACTTCCTCCTCCCTCTGTAGGTGGCGGAAGTTAGTGGAGGCGGCAGCCATTGACAGCGGGGACAGTGCACCTCTCCAGAGGTCCCTGACTGTACTGCTGAGTGATTTAAATGTGGAAAGGCTCATTTTCATCATGTCGCCTAAAATCTAGAGTCCTCAGTAGAGCGTGTGTGTGAGTAGCTGACAAGTGAGGCGAGCCTGTTCCCAGGGGGCCTGGGACGCCGTACAGTGAGTCACTCGCTGACACATGAGTGGAGACCGGAGGGCGGGGCCCTGAGCCGGCGTTCCGTGACGACACCTGCGTGGCACCGACGTGGATGATGAGGGCCGGGCTAAAGTCAAATGCTGAATTCAGATTTATCGGAAACTAATTTCGAAATATACCTCATTTTTTTAATATTAAAGCACTTCGAATAGTCTCTACATTATTCTGAAATTTTCACTTGAAAACAATTTAAAGTCATTAGATGTATTTTTTTGTTGTTGTTGTTAGTAAGAACTTATGGTGGGACGTTTTGTGGGTCGGCTAACTGTTAATTCAGCAACATTTACAAGCACCTGCTCTGGGCAAGACAGGGTTATTCACTGGTTAAGAGGAGATGCTTTGGTCTAAAGCGGCCTCTGCTGTGACGGTCTGTTGGGGAGCAGCTGTCGCAGGCTGCAGTCCGCTCCCGTGGTTTTATTTTGAGGTGACTTTGGGGTGACCATGTAATCCCGCCCCACTGGGACCCCGGGAGGGTGACCGAGGACTTGGCTGTGATTCCGTGGGACAGCGTGAGGCGGGCAGACCGGAGGTGTCCGGCGTGGCCGCGGTGGGGTCTGGCCGGTGTGCCCAGGTACCGAGGTGCCCACCTGTGCCCGGCCGCACTCAGGTCCTGGCGAGCGGCCAGCGGGAGGCCGGACGTGGTGCACGCCGCGCAGGGCGCGTGTTTGCACGGTTTCTGTTCAACCACGTTGTTCGGTCCTCTGCGGGCAAGCCGCGTCACTGTGTCCTGTCACGACACGGGGCGGTGACGGGGACGCTGGCTGAGCCGCCCTCTGCTTGCTTCGCAGGACCAGTGGTTCTGGCGCGTCAGGAACAACAGGGTGATGGACGGCTACCCCATGCAGATCACGTACTTCTGGCGGGGCCTGCCGCCCGGCATCGACGCGGTGTACGAGAACAGCGACGGCAACTTCGTCTTCTTCAAAGGTGAGCCCGCCCCGTCGGCCCCGCGGGGCCTGAGCCGGGGACAGCGCGCCCGTCCACGAAGCGCTGGCTCCACACGTGAGCGAAGCAGAAGCGGAGGTAACGTTTGGTTCTCTAAGTTACGTCTTCTCATTTGGCAGCTCACGGCTAAGTCCAATTCAGGAGTCGTTGACATCGCATAGAATTTTTATATTTTGCTTAAAAGTACCCCCAAAAGTGATATAAACGAATAAGGGAATGATTGAAAAGCCCTTTTCCCACTAACTGAGGAGTCTGGGTGTTTTTTAAGAGCTTTGGAGTTGCTGCTTCGTACAGCGGCATCTGCATCGCTTCTCTGACCATCCTTGGTTGGGTCAGTGTGTGTCGAGGGGGCGACAGGAGCTGCTCTGTGGGCAGGAAGCACCGCCCAGCTCCCTGCTCTCCCTGAGGTATCCTGAGCTTGTCATTTCCCGGAGTGACAGGTTTCAGCGGCTCGCCTGGCATGCGGAAGGCAGGCCGCCTGGAAGTGACCTTGGGCGGCTCCCGGGTTCGCCGTCCTGACACTCGCGGGCGCTCAGCGATGAGTCTGCAGCCTGTGGGGAGCCGAGGGGAGCCCAACGGGGCTGCAGGGCGGCCGGACCGTGCGCGGGACACGCTCGAGCTGCATCTGAGGGCCGAGCGTCCGGGCGCGGGGGTGGGGGGTGGATGTGCTCCCCTGGGTGGAGGGCAGCTGGGCACGTCCCCAGGGAGGGAGGTCGAGGCCGTGGGCGGCACAGAGAGCCACTGTTCCCAGAGCAGGCAGGACAGGTGTGCGGGGCTCGGGGAGCTGTACTCAGCGAGGACCAGGCTGCCGAGTAAGCGGGGCGTCACCTACCGGTCACGCCGTCCTTAGCCAGTCCTCGAGGTGGGGGTGGCACTTGAGTTCCTGGCACCGGGAAGCAGCCCCCCAGCAGGCTCGGGCCCTACCTGGCCGGCTGTGCGAGCTGGGCCAGGCCCACAACTCGCTGTGCCTCGGTTTCTCCACGTGGAAGGTGGGTCGCTCTTGTCCCTGCTCGAGGTGGGGACTAAGGGGACAGCCCTGTGAGTGCTCAGGAAGTGCCATGCGGCCCCGGCAATCCGCCCGCCCCCTGTGGCTGAGGGCACCTGGGCTGTGGCCCGGGTGCCCTGCGGACACTGGGGGGCACGTCCGGGGGAGTCTTGGCAGCATGCCTGGGGGAGAGGGCCCCCCCTCCACCCGCTGGCCCTGTGAGCAGAGGCAGCAGGAAGCAGAGCGCATCGCCCACGGTGGCCGGAGCTGAGGTCTGTCCCAGGGCCTGGCGCCCCTGGCCAGGCCACCCGCGGGGGCCTGTGTCACAAGCCCGTGCTCTGCTGCTTGCTGCTGCGGTGGCTCCTCCTCGCTGGTTCGTGGGCGCTCTCTGGCCACCCTGCTCGAACTCACACCTTGCGAAGGTGTGACGTCACCTTCGGCCTGGGGCGTGAATCCCTCCCCACTGCAGGTCCCAGGCCAGTGCGGGCCAGAGCTGTGCCCGGGAGACCCCTCAGACGAGGCCGGGGCGGCGGTGGCCAGGGCGGCGGTGGCCAGGAGGCGCCGAGGGCGAAGCGGCCGGACACCGTGCCCCTTCCTGTGCTCTGGTGCCGGCCCGGCCGCCGCGTCTCCCGCCGCAGGCTCACCCGTCTCTGCGAACACCGGGCCTGTCGGTGGCTTCCGATCGCCGCCGGTCTGAGCTGTCACCCGGGACCCACCTCGCCCCTCCACCGCTCGCTCCCACACAGCCTCCGGGTCCCCTCCCCAGCCCAGCTGGACACACAGTGCCCTGGGCGCAGACGGCCCCGCCCAGCCCGAGCCCCCTTCCTGATGTCACCTCCCCACCGTGGGGGAAGGGCCGGACTTGGGCGGCAGGTGGCTCAGCACCTTCCTGCCGTGGGCTCCAACCCACAATCACATGACATCTCAGCTGGCCAGGTCTCCCAACGGCTTTGTCACCTCAGAAGCCAAGACGGTGCCATCGCCCCTCGTCCCTGCCCTGTGCCCTCCCCTGCTGGGGTTCTGCTCACGGGCCACGCCGCGTGTCCCACGTCCGTGGTACCTGTGCGCATCCTGCCCGCTGGGCTGGCGGCCGGGGAGTCCAGTCCCCTGTCCTTCGTCTTCTGTGTGGACCGTGGTCCTGGTACCTCGAACCAGGCCCGATGGACGTTTCTCTAATGACCCAACAGCCCTTGTCCCAGCCTGGCAGCCGGCGCGGACTCTGCTGCCTGCCCACCTGAGCTGGGGTTCGACTCTTCGGTAGGACCCCTCCCCGGGCCACAGGCTGCCCTAACCCGGCGAGCGGTCGGCTACCGACCTCTGCTTGAGATGGTGCCTGGCACGCGGTGGACCCGGACAGGACCATGGATGGAGAGCGGAGCCCGAGCGTGGCCGTGTCCGGCTCGCGGTCCCCGCCGGCCCAGCCCTCGCGCTCAGCTCCGCCTCCGGCGCTCGCCCCGGCCCCCTGGCAGGCTCACTTCGCTCCTCTGTTTGGCTTTGTCTTTCTGTTCTTTCTCGACGGACACCACCTGTTACGGTTTTCTCTCCCTGTGACCCATGCTGTTCAGTAGCACCTGTACCTCACTAGCTTGGTCCTCTTTGTCCCCCACTTAACTCAAGTCCATGTTGGGGTATAACTCTTCTGGCCACATTCCCTAACGGTACTAAGTGTCAGCCTTGATTTCCTCTTGCATGAGTCCGAAGGTGTACCTTCGAACACGAGTATGCGTGACCGCTCAGTTATGAAGTAGAAATGCTCTCAGTCGTGTGAAAGTAAGCATACCCTGTCACATTCAAATGGACGTTTAAAATATCTCAAGAAGAGTGGAAAGCCACTAGGTATAATGAAAACTTTATGTTTTGATATAATTTATATTACTTTTTGAACTTTGGGCAAAATTATACATGCGCATACATGTCACGAAATGGGAGTTGTCGGTACCTAAATTATAAAAACTGGGAAACATAAGCACTTGTCGTCCACACGCGAGACCATCCGTGGTCGCAGACCCTTCCTGCTGTGGGGCGTGTTCACGTGCAGTGTGTTTTGGATCGAGGGTGTCTCTGTCTCCAGCCAAGATGTAATAATAGGGATCGGATTTATCTTCCCACCATAAACAACCAAACGTTAGGCAAAGTACATAAAATGCTGATTTTCATGACACCGACATCTTTTTATTGACAGAGTTTCTCTGTCTTTAATCAGACGTGTTGGCATTTTCCTCTGCTTTCTGCCAAGTGCGGTGTCCATTGGGCCCATTTTTCCACTGGGTCCAGAATGTGTCAGCCTCCTGCGAAGTCCGGTAAATGCCTGCCCTCTGCCACACAGGCAGCACCCTGAGAACCAGGCCGTCTCATGGAAGGTGGTTAAAAGTCCGACTCTCCTATGTGAAAAGAGAAAGAAAGAAAAGAAAAAGAAAGAAAAGATTTGGCTATGAATCTCACATTCTCAAAATCTAAAACACAGAAGCAAAGTCACTTCAGAATTTGCAGGTAAAAACCTTAGTGCGTCAGTGCATAAAAGGGACCACATCGTTGTATTTCCTTAACGAATACTTGAGAATTAAGTGTATAACTCGTAATCACGGTTATTTCCTTGAATTCTATGCCACGAATACTCAGCAGGCAAGATGTTGTTTTCTCAGTTTTTTGTGTACAGTCAACTGCTGGGATCTCATCAGGCACCTTAACAGCCAGTGTTTGCTGATGAGTTTTCTGTTTCGCTTTATTTTTTTAAAGGGGAATATAAGTGCGTTTAAAAAAAAAAAAGTCTCCTGGGGTTTGCTCCTAATGGGGGGAAAAAAACCCCACGAACTGAGATCTGTAGTGAAAGGCTGAGTGTTTCTCCGTTATTTTCCGAAAACGCCTGCCCAACAGTATAGGGAAATGTTTCCAAGACACATTTAAAGTGAACAGATAAACAAACAAACAAATAAGCTTCTACACGGTCACAGGAGTTTCCTGGAAGAGCTGAAACCCTCGTCTCACACGTTGTCCTCGGAGCCACCTGGCCATGTAAACGGAGCCGCTGGGAACGTCTCTCGTGCTGCACGCACGGGGGGCCCCTCGTGGGCTGTGGGCGGGTTGCCGGTTGGGGTGGCCACTGTGGGAAGTGGTGTGGAGGGTCCTCAAAAACCTAAACATAGAACTGTCATACGACCCAGCAGTTCCGCCTCTGGGTGTTTATCCAACGAAATCCAGACACTAATTCAAAAAGACCCCCGTGCCCGTGTTCACCGCAGCACCGTGACGGCAGCCGAGGCCTGCGGGCTCTGTAGGTGTCGGCAGCCGACGAGCGGATGAGGAGGGGACATCCGCACAGTGGAGTGCTGCTCGGCGACTCGAGAATGAAACCGCGCGGCCGCCACCATCCGGATGGACCTCGAGGGGAGGACGCTAAGTGAAAGAGTTCAGACAGAGGGAGACAAATGTCGTAGGAGGCCACTTACGTGTGCAACCTAAACACAGAACGAACGAACGGGGCGGGCAGGAGACAGAGGACAGGCTGGCGTCGGCCACGGCGGGCGGGGGCGCGGGGCCGAGCGCGGACTTGCGTTTCAGGGGGAGTCTGGGGCGCGGGTGCAGCACGGCAGCTCCCGTCAGCGGAACCGTGTTTTGGAAAGTTGCTGAGACTCGATCTCAGTTCCCACCATGAGAAACGAGACTGTCCCTCCGTGAGGGGACGGTGCCAGCCGGACTGATCGCGGGGCTTTCGCAACGCGTACAAGTACCGAGTCATTGCGTTGTACTCCTGAGACTAACGTAACGTTCAGTGTCAATTCACCTCGACAAAAACGTGGCTGAGGGGGGACAGTCGTTCGCTGGAAGGCGTTGGTGCCTCCGGGGGAGACGGCCGGAGGCTGCCAGGGATTGTCGGGGTCCGCGGCGGGGCCGGCTGCGGCAGCGTCGCACAGTGGGCGTGGCGGGCTGAGCGGCACGGCGAGGGTGCTGTCCGTGGGGGGTCTCAGGACGACGCTGGGACCCGCGGAATTTGTCTTCTTTCCAGCGTTGTCCACGCTCTGGCCATTTGGACGAGGGCAGAGTGAAAACCCTCCACCCGTGACCTGCCTTGGAAAGAACGATGGCCTAACAGCCGGAGTTGGGGCAAAGCGGGGAGACCTGCGGGGAGGGGGGGACACTAGAGCCAGAACCAGTGCAGCGGGGAGGGCGTCCAGCAGCACCCACTCCCGAGGGCCCCTCCGCCCTGATGCAGGGCCTGCTCTCCATGGGCCTCCTCCCGCCTCCACAGGCCACCAACTCTGGTTGTGTCACTACACGGTCACCCACTCTGGGAGACGACGCCACGCCCGTGTGCCAGCTGCACCTGCTGCTGCCACTTCACGGATTTCACGAAAAGCCACTGTGGACGCACGGGGAACAGGCGTGCTCCAACTTCCGGCGTTAAATCGTCGTTCCGCGTCTGGACTTGTGTCTTACAGGTAACAAATACTGGGTGTTCAAGGACACGACCCTCCAGCCTGGGTACCCCCACGACCTGGTGACGCTCGGGAGCGGGGTCCCCCCGCATGGCATCGACTCGGCCATCTGGTGGGAGGACGTCGGGAAGACCTACTTCTTCAAGGGGGACAGGTCAGTGCGCTGCGTGGGGGGCAGTGACCGCGTGCGTGGCGGGGACAGTGACCACGTGGGGGCAGTCACCGCGTGCGTGGGGTCACAGTGCGCATCCATCGCGGGCACTCGCTGTCGAGGGAAGGGTTGTGTGGGCATCCACACCAGAATTACTGGAATCGAAGATCTTTTTAAACATATTTTAAATAACATTCAGGATAAATCTTCCTCTGATACCTGCAGATGACACGACTTTCTTATGAACCTAAGCGCACAGCACATTCGTCCCCACCGTGATCATAAGGTGCCCCAAGCTGTGCCGTGTGTACGTACCCTCGCGATGCATTTCCCCGTCATTTTACTTACTTAATTTAAAAAGTACCTTTTAGCAAAGGTTTTTTTGTATGCTTTTATATAAAAAGTTGAAATTTTATACTTAACACACAGTTAATTGTGAGCATTTTCCAATTTGTAATTTTTGACTGACGATGGTTTCAAACACTGAGCTTTGTCTTTGAACAGAAAGATCCTATCATTTGCCTCCACAGGTTAGAACATATACTTTTAAATTTATTCTATGACTTACTTTCTACATTCGTTTTGAATACATGCAGACATTACTTTAATTCACTGTCATGAAACTAAGATTTTGCTAAATATTTCTTACTAAACCACAAAACAAAAAAGATCCATCAAAGGAAAAGTTTATTAAAGTGGAAGATGCTGCTCACCGCCACAGAAAGCGTGTGCTTCTCAGGAGGACGTAGGTGCAGCAGAGTGGGAGAGACCACGACGGCCCACGCGGCTCGAGCTGCAGACTCAGAGCAGCGTCTTTACGGTGACCCCCCTCAAGGCCGGTGGCGTTTGATTCCTCAGCTGCTTTAATCGCTTGGATGTCCCCTTGCAGCACCCGGTTTAGTCGGGAGCTGTGTGGTTGGTCGGTTGGTTGGTTTTGGGCACAAAGGGTGGAAACACAAGGCTGAGAAGATGCACGAGACAGTCAACATCCACAGGACAGAACACGAGAGCTCAGCTTCCCCCGACCGTTTTAATGAGGCTTCATAGATGGTAACGAAGACCATTTCATTACCGAATAGCCATTTTTTTTGACTCATGCAAGTATGACTTTTCAGAATGTTTCCATTCTAGAAATTTAGTACTTGCTGAAAAATTTAAGTGTAGAAATTAACTAACTGTAGGCTATCTCAAGTCAGTGAAATCAATGAAGAGTAGATTCAAAATTTATAACAGAATAAAGACTTTAGTAAATGGGAAAAAGAGTTTTAGTTCATTTATCTCCTATTTGAGAAGCTGCATACAAAATACAACAAAATTCTTAGAAGTAATACTTTGATTTTAAGTCCTATTTAAATAACTGCTTTCATAGGTTTTAAAAAAATTTAAAACAGGGCTTCAATTAGTTTTTCATGCGTGTGATCTTATATGAGATTTTATGAGTTATGGGTATTTATAAACAGATTACTTCATATTCATGTAATTATATAATTCCAAAGTCAAACATGTATCAATACACTCATTCTGGATTGAAAGTTCACAGAGAAGACACAGTGTCTGCCTCAGACATGGAAACTACCGCTGGCTGTCACCTTTACAGACGGTGCGTGTTTACAGTGCTCACCAGCTTTAACGCTCCGTGTACTTTCCACGTGTACTTTGGAGCGAGGACACACTGAATGTGTATTTGTCCTTACTGGTTCCCCAGCTTCTCCCTTTCTGCCTTCACGAGTGGGCGGCTCAGAGGCTCGGGGCTGAAAGCAGAGGCCCCGTGAGATCCGAGCGGAGGTGGCTGCCGAATGTGACGAGCCGCTTGCGGAGCGAGACCAGCGGTCCCGGGGGGCCGTCCAGCGTCACCGTCTCCGTGCAGCTGGACCTCAGCCCTGGGCCCCGCTCGCCCTCTGCTCCTCACACTCAGCTGGTTCTTGGCCACATCCTGGTCCGCTTAGTGTTTCGCTCTAAAATGCTGTTTCTAAATCAGCTCCCAGCATCTCACAGGCTCATCCAAGCTGTCTTGCCATACACTTCAGTCTAAGCTTAACCTCTGAGAAACTGAAGGTATTTTCAAAGAAATAGCGCCCAGGCAGGTGTCCCCATGAAGAGGACGCCACAGAAGCCACAGGTCGGGATCGGGAGAACCAGCCCGATGACCCTCCTACTTGTCCTCCTCGGAAAGGCCCCGGGAGGTCCTCTCACGTCTCCAGAAGCTTCACCTGGCCTCCCTGTCAGGCCCGGGTGACAGGGCTCTGTGACAAGTGCCTGTCACCGTGCGCTTCCCGTCCTGATAAACTGCCTGTGGCCCACTTACTGGGACACTTCCGAAGCCACCTGTTTCTCCTTGCCGTGAGCACTGCAGACGGCGGACACGCTGACCTCGAGGTTGCTCGCGTTAAGTTTCGGGGACCCCACGGCGAACCCTCCTGACAGCCGAGGCTCTCCATGGGCCTGCACCAGAAGACTGTCCAGAAGGAACTGGAAAATATCTCTCTGATCTCAGCCCAAACGCCTGATCCCAGCATAGCGCGTGAAGGACGCTACTTCCCAAAGTGTGTTGGCCACACGCCAGCAGATGGTACAGACGCTGCGTGAAAAAAGGCGGTTTTTCAAATAAATAAATTTGGAAAACATGTTCGTTCTACATAGAGAACAGAGAAGAGACTTTAAAGTCAGACAGAAACGGTATTAAATCTGCCAGCCAGTCGCTGTCGTCCAAGAACCCCCTCTCAGGCGGGGACAGGGATGGCCACCTCCTGGCTGTGCTGTGCTTCCATCAGACGGAGCCCAGAGCCCCACGCCAGCCCTGAGTGGGCGATGTCGCCGCGAACTCCCCTGGTTTACCCCGGTTTTGTCAGCCCTTTGGCACATTCTAGACGCGATCTGCTTGATTCTGAGAGCGTGTGGACACTAACGAGGAATCCAAAGTGGGACGCTGGCCGTTTGTCCCCTAGGGGTCCGGCAGCTCTGTGGACGTGGCCGAGGGCCGCCTGTGAGGGGTGGGCTCCGTGCCCCCACCCTCGGCAGCTTCGCCTCTATTTTCCTGTCTGTACACTGAGGGCTCCAGTCAAGACCCGCCTGAGGCCGACAGTCCCCGGCTCCACTCTGGCTCGGCGGCATCTCGAGTCGCACGTCTGCACCAGACGCACGGATCACCCCACCCGGCGCCCCCGCTGCCTTCCCTGGTGGCAGCGTGGCTGTTCCCCACGTCACAGCCGCATCCGAGTTAAATTCCGCTCCGTTCTCTCGCCCGGGACGTCGCCAGCCCTCGAATCACCACCACCCCGGCCGCCCACGCTCGAGCCCAGCGGTCGCCGCAGTGACATCCTGCCTGGCGCCTCTGCTTCTGCTTCGCCTCCGTCGATCTAACTCGCAGCAGCAGCAGCGAGCTCCTTCCGAAGCTCAGCCACAGCCCGAAGCACCGCCCCTCGAAGCCGGTGGTGGCGATGACGGTGGCCGTGACAGTGATGGTGACGGTGATGGTGACGGGGACAGTGGCGGTGACAGTGGTGCTGGCGGTGGCAGTGGTGGTGACAGTGGTGACGATGGTGGTGTCTCAGGGGAGCCCACGAGCTTGCTGCAGCGCCAAGACCTGTCTTGTCTCCAACGCCGGTTCCTCTCTGACCTTGGGCCCCGTCACTTCGTGTCCGGTCACCCAGCTGCCCCATGGACGCTCCGGCCAGCGCCTGCTGCGGGCTCACCCCATATATGGTGCTCTCACGGTCGCTCGCTCCCCAAGGCGCCCTGAGTTGCCCCTCACCCCGCTCCCTGCTCAGAAGCCAGCGCGTGGGGACCTCCCTGCCCGCAGGTCGCACGGCTGGTTCCAGCTCGTTTCCTTAGTAGGTCTCACTGCCTCCCCGCACGGTGTGTATTTGTCGCTATGTTGGGGTTTTGCCCATAACCCCTACATATCCTAAAACACGAGGCAGACGAGGGCCAGCTGTGCCCTTCCAGGTCCTGTGTCTGGCACCCACCTCCATGCCAGGGACACAGTGATGCTCAGTAAGTGCTGAGTGAATGAATCAATAAGATTCTGTTTAATATTCTTTCAGAAAAGGATTCTGCTTCCTAAGTAAGATTTTAAAAAAAAGAGTTCGATGCTACCCTTTTGAACTATAAATATGTTAGCATTTTTTTATTAATTTTGGCAGACTGAATACACAGTAACTTAACCATTTTGACACATCCAGGAAAGGGAACAGTCCACGTTTTGCGTCTGCCGTCTGCGCAATGACGGCACGTGCTGGGCCGGGGAGGCCGCAGGCTGCACGTCGCGCACCGCCCATGCGTGTTCTTGTCTTCACCCTCTAGGTACTGGAGATACAGCGAAGAGATGAAGACCATGGACCCTGGCTACCCCAAGCCCATCACGGTCTGGAAGGGCGTCCCCGACTCTCCCCAGGGAGCCTTCGTGCATAAGGAGAACGGTAGGAACATGCGCGGGCGCAGGCCACGCGCGGGAGGAGGTGTCACCACCCTGCGCCCAGGCCCCCTGCTGAGTCAGGCCGGGGCGCGGCTCCGGCTCTGTCCCGACCTCAGTCTACTTAGTTCTTAAGAAACAACGAAGGTGACTTTTTAAATGGGGGCTGTGGAAGTCACCTCACCCAGGCCAGTGAAACGTGTGCGAAGGTAGCAGGGACCCATGCGTGAGACAGGAACGGTCGCAGGAAGGCTGAGTGTGGCTGGGCACAGACACCCGGTGGCAGGCTGCAGTCGTGTGCAGGTGGCTTCGGCAGGGTGTCGGCCAGCAGGGCAGGCCGGCCGAGCAGCG